AGCAGAACGTGTTCTACAGCAGAGCAATGCAAGGGAAGTGCCACCATCTTGTTTTCTGTCTTTGTCTTTTCTCTCATGCTAGTGATCAGCTTCAGGGCCTCAGGCATAAGAGCCTCAACCATTGTCTTAAGGAGCATTCAGAGTCTTAAGAAGAGGGAACTGAATTGAGTCTAGAAACCTAGGTGTTGAGAAGCCAGAAGTGCACATTTCTCAGGCTGGCGATAACCACTTACGTGTGCTGAGGGTCTCAGTTTCTAAACAATGTCAGTCTCTACAGGCCACTTGAGCTTTTTTGGAGATGTTTGTATTTTGATGGAAAAGTTCCTTGAGACCAAACAGTGAGCAGACTAGTGTGGGTTTTCCACAGAGGTGATTGGTGAGTTTCCTGCTCTAGCCTCACATGGAGCCAGAGTCAGGAAAGTGTGACACCTGTGTGGCTCTGACAGGGAGGGGCTGGGACTCTTGGGATTATTACGCAGGAAGCTCGTTGTTGGGGACCTGCCCAACTTAGCTGCCTTGTTGGGATTTTTTTTTTTCTATTTTGCTGTATTTTTTTTTCTGTTTTCCTAATCCATTTTTTCTTCATTTACGTTTTTATTCTTTTATCTTTTAAAATTTTTAAATTTTGTTTTCCGTTTTCTCATTTTTCCTGTTTTTTATCCTCATTTTCTTGAATCTTTCTATGATTGCCTCATTTTTCATGTTTGCCTTGTATTTCTTGATATTTTCTGTGCTCAGCATAGAAACCAGGGCACTGCACATGCTAGGTAAGCCATCTGTATTGGATTACTTCCATTTTTACCCTTTATAAATTCTTTTTCTTTTGTGTTATTTTCTTTTTGCCGATACTTTTTATTTTTTACTTATTATTATTTGCTTATATTTGTTCATATTGCTGCTATAGTTAGCGTATTATGAACTGTTAGTGTTCTCTGTATAGTTACTCTGTTCCTTTGAGCAACTCAGTGTCAGTGCATGAGAACTGTCCCAATGTGCCAAGAGATTGACAGAGAGCTAGACAGATCTCAGAGCACGGAGGGGACAATTTATTTGAGCCCTTCCTCATGGAAGTGTGTTACTAGTTTGCTCATACACTACTTGAATCCTGGCAGCTTGGGTCCAAGGAAGGTCAAGTTTATGAGTGTCGACAGCAGTGGATTCATCCTGACTGGTTGTATTTCAATAACCTTGAGCTGATATTAAAGAACCGGGCATCTCCTGGAGCTGGCATCTGGTTGCAAAGCTCCACAAAACACTCTGAGGGTTTAGTCTTTTGTTGTTGGCTGTCAGACTGTTCAAGAAAACCCTGGGCTATTGGGCCAATCGTGGCAGTGAAGAGTCAAGATGGCAGCAATCAAGTCAAGCTAAATCCATATGAGTCACCGTTTGTCACGGGTCTACAATCTCACACACCCGCTCTTCCATGATATGCCCTGAGCCTGTGAAGAGTCCCAGCCTTGCAAACATGGTGCCAAATGAGGTCATTTGTCCAGTTATTGAGTTGCCCACCTATTTGTCCCATTGTTGCCCACCTCTCAGGCTTAAAGCAAATAGTAAGAACAATCCTTCTTCCCTGCCAGCATCCTCAGGACCACACACACAACTGAGCATGTCTGTTATGGAAGAGAGAGGAGAAAAGACATTAACAGGGGTTTTCATGTGTGACCCAAGGTGGGCAACAGCTGGGACGTGCAAATCGTATTTGTCTTGATAACAGCACAGCTTCCAGGCAGACCATAAAATGGACAAGAAACCACAGATATTGTTGGAAAAGGAAGCTGGCTGTAGTGCCTGGAGCTATGCACACTCAGGTCATTAGCTGTGACCACAGGCGTAGACTTCTAAAGGGAATGTGTTAAGCAGGCCACAGTTATCTCAGAGGATGGCAGAAATCAGTCAACCCACCCAGAGGGATCAAGCCATGAAGCTAGATGAGACCCCAACTACGTGGTCCCCTACCTGGAATACAAAAAAGTAGCCCATTTATGAACTCTGGGGACAGAGACTGTGGAGTTACATTTGACCATGGATGCTCTTGGGACAGGGTCAGAGCTTCCTGCAGCAAGTGCTTAAGAGGGACAGCTAAGCCTGTCATGTGGGTGTTGAAATGGGCTAAGTATTCTCCAGAACTTCATCTTGCCAAGGCAGATTTGCCTAAAAAGGCCTAGAACTGTTAAATGGCTCTTCTTTCTCTCCACCAACCCTGAAGCCTAGAGGTTATGAGGCAAATGAAAACGCCATTGTTCATCATGTGCTGGGGGTCCATGCTGCCCTTCATGCCTTGGGATGTGGGTGCCATCCGGACAGTCCTTAGGTACAGGTACCCAAGGCTTATGCATCTCAAGGCCCTTAACAGTGGCAATTTGGTTACTACTTTGCTAGGAGAGCCTGGTAGAAGCCACCAAGCCATTGTTCCATTGACCATTTTGCCATCAACGAGGTGAGGCCCAAGTACACCACCCCAATGATGATAAAAGTAACAACAGCCAAGGCCCATGAGCTCCCATATCCATACTGCCCGCCATTCTGCCCATTGGCTCTCAGATTTTCTTCTGTCTCAAACCAAGTAGTGTCCAGGGCAGGACACACTGCAGCAGCAGTCCAGATGCTGAGGAGATCCTGCTGCAAACATCTGACCACCAAACATTCTCAGGTAGGCGCCTTTCCTGTGGGATCCCACCTGAGGGGCTGAGGCCCCTTCACAGGAATCTGGGACAATGCCGTCAGCAACTCAGGAGAAGCAAAGGGCTATGTCATTGTCGTGGCAGATTGAGGTTGGTGAAATACGCCTCCCCCACCATATGCTGGTGGCCAGTGTGCATGTGACACAAACTTTTGGTGAGAGGTTTCCCTTCTAGTAGGGCCTGCACACTGCTGGAAACTGCTACTCTGGAGGGGAAGGTCTAGTTTCTGCTTCCTCCAGAGCTCTGATTAAAGAAAAAGCTACTTTGTCCGAGACCTTGACTCATGCCATCTGCTGTACAGGTGACATCGCTTTGCACTGCTGTGCCTTGTTGTCCAAGGTGCCCAGAGCCCATTCCTGGGCATTATGCATCTTGGCTTTCTCAAATGTCTCCTGTTGGGAGCACACTACTCCCATGTGGCTCCTTATTTAGCTGCTTAGGGGACATCGGTGTTGAGCCAGATGTATAATGAAAAGCCCCAGCTCCCCAGCATTCCCGATAAACCCTATCAGTGGTTCATTCTGTGCGACCTGGGGAAGCCTGGCAGTTTCCTTCACATCATTCCTGCCATGCATCATTTCTTACCCTAATGGACACCTGTGGGAACTGTAGGATGGTCCCCGGCCTTGGGTCTCTTTGACAACACATTTAGTCATGCATAGGTGTGTGCACATCTGTGTCTCTGACTCCTAAAACAAAGGACGATCTTCCACAATTAGCATGACATCATCCATATGATAAAACCAGGGAATATCAGTACTAAAATCCTAACAGAAATCTGAGTGAGGTCCTGACCCACCATCTGGTGACAGATAGCAGGACTGATTTCCCTGACAGCAGGTGACAGATTTCCCTGAGGCAGTGCCTATAACATCCCCTGCCTGCCCTTCCAAGAGAAGACCAACTGGTCTTGCCGGTCCAGTTACAAAGGACTGATGAAAAGGTATTAGCTAAGCTCAGCACAGCATGCACAGGGACAAGGTGGGTGTGCTTGTTCCTGAGCCCTGGTAGTGGGAGGACTGCAGCCAAACTCCTAGGAATCACCTTGCCCCACCCGCTCTAGTCCACAGCCCTTCTGCAAGCCCTAGATGGCCTCTACCAACAAGAGAGACCAAATGACTTAAATAGGTAGGAACTGAGTAGGAAGGGCACCTTTGGCCAGTCCTTCATCTCATATGGCCTTGACCACATAAGACACCCCATCAGGCAGTCAGACTGGGGAAGAGAGAGAAGGGCCATGCACTTCACAGGCATTTATGAATATCTTTTAATTCTCCACTAAATTTGCTCTTTTGTATCCTTGAAACAATGGGACATAAGATGATTGTCATATGTTCCATTGCCCCCATGTCCCCTGGGACTCTTTACTGCTTTTCCATGGGGAAACCCTCCTAGGCCCATGCCTCTCCTGTACAACAGGATCTAAAATGGGATGAAACGATTTTCCTAATCGTATGGGGCTTAGGGGTTACCAGAGGGTTACTTAGGAGCTCATTTGAGGATGCCAGGTTTCCATGCCCCAAAGAGACAAGGGACATTCAGCATAGAGTAGGTTGACCCTTGAAGATCAGGGGGCAACCCTGTGCTCATGCTGTGGCCTCCAATCATTAAGCAGAGTGCCCTTGTGGATTTAGTCCAAGGATTCACCCTTTCTCCCACCCATTTCCTTGGTCTCTGTTGGCTGAGCACTTGTTCTGGACTCACCCACTCACAGTGTATGAGGACTGTTCCCAAGGAGCTGTGAGAGCAAG